AATATCCTGACCAATAATGTGACAATTGTTTCCTGTTACCAAATACAGTACAACCGTTCAACCACTGAGGTTCGATTGTGGAAAATATTTGATTATAATACGTGCAAATAGATTTCTTTTAGACATTAAGTTTAGAAAGGCAGTCCCTGGGGAAACCTGAGACGCCCCCTGGGGAACCACGCCCCAGGCAACAAAAGAGCGACACGCGACCTCGCTACTCTCTTCTCTTCGCTGTTGGCTCTCTTCCACTCTGCTCGGCTCGCTGGACGCTTCGGCACGCGCGTGGCGTGCCTCGCCAGGCAACGCCCTCAGTCGGCCAGCGAAACAGGCCTTTGTTCGCCTGAAGCTACACACCTGAAGTGCCGCGATATCGATCTGCCTTCAGTTTGTTTTATTTTCTTCATTTCTTTTTTTTGTTAAAGTTATCAGTCCGTTAAGTTACACTGGACTAATTCAGGAACGACCAAGTTCCATTTTAAGCCTTTTTCGTCGAGCCAACTTCACCGAGGTCAGACCAAGCCACGTGGTCTCGCCAGCTACAACGAAGGAAACCTGAAAACAGCCGAATTGCCAGACGGAGGAGGCGTTTTCAATCAGACACGGAGAACCCCGGAGAATCCCTAGCAAAAAGCCAGGATCGGGCAGCTAGCGTGGGACCAGCAACAGGCCAAAAGCAGGCTGTCGACAAGCAGTAAGACTCAACACACGTTCTGTGATCAGATGTCCATTTTAACTCCTAAAATCACAGCATTAGTTTACTTTCAGTAGCTCTTCTATGCCGTATGAGTCAAATGCTTCCCACAATCGAACCTCCAGGCTCATTGTTCAGCAAATGTTTATGTTCCCTGTATCCAACCATCTTTTTATCACCTTAGTTAGAGAATAAATTCACTATAATATAATCAAGAGCTGTGTGTGTTGCCTATTTCTACGTCCCTGCCGAGAGAATTGACCCTTTAGATATGAGACTGACTGACTGATTTAAGATAATTGAGCGATTATTAACTAACTGGTCAGATCACTAGTAATAATTGTATAATGTATTATTAAAACTACCTAGAGGACCGGAGACTCTAGGATTATAACAACTCCGGTGGTGCCCTGAAATGAGGAATATGGTTTGATTTTATGAATAATAAAATTCATAACTGGGTATCAATTCTCATAAATTTATTAAATTGCATAACTAAATTTAGGTGTGCTACAAAGTTATGGTGTAAAGTAGGGCTAACCCTGAATAGTCGAAGATTTGATGCTTCGATGGGCAGAGCCTGATTCGACTGTCAATCTCACAGTCAAAGCTTCGCAACGACACAAGGATCATGCCATTTTGGCCATATAGGGAAGCTCAAAGTCTGATTTTACACAGAATAAGTTAACATACAGCCTATTACAATATACATTTCAACGTTTAATGCTGTAAATAAACATGTAAAAAGAAAAAAAACACTTGCTGAAGAGATGGAGCCACAGCTTCACCAGTGTGCAGAGTTGTCCGCACCTTGCGGGACTTTCAGATAATTTATCACCGTTGACGAACCACACAAAGAAAATTCTATCGTTTTTAAACAGCCGCTACATGAAATAGACCCGTAAGGACCCGCAACGTGCATGCAGTTGTCGGCAGCATGGCAAAAACTCTGCACAAGAACGGTGAATGAAGAGAGGGAGGTCAACAATAAGCCTCACTTTAGCTTCGGCTCGCAATCGCCGTGTACAAAAACACACATGATTTGAGTCAGTCGACTATAGGCAGGACTTGACGATTCTGATTCGACTATGTAAATCCTTAGTCGGGGACAGCCCTAGTGTAAAGCTAAAAACAAACTGACTGTTTATTGTTTAAATGTTTATTTGATCATGTTGTTGAGCCATGTTTTATGCTTGTTGGTGGAGTCAATTTAGCTTTTCTGCACTTAACCAGCTAATGTTACTTTTTTTTTTTCCTTTATGGGCAAAGCAGAGGAGGAATCAGTGGGAGCTCCTGTCTTGAGACCACCACTCACATCTTTGTCAGATGGGACAAGAAGAAGGAGGAGGAAGGAGGAGAAGGAATAAATACACACAGGAATAAATAATTGTCAATAACCCATAAATAACAGTTTAATGTAAACATTAAAGCTGCAAGCAGCGTTGGGCGGGCCCTCGCACATGTAGCACATCGAGGTGTGGCTGCGATGAAGATTCTAGAGCTCTGCCGGTGCGGCTGTGAATTTGCCCGCACTTCGGATGCTGCACAAAGGTGTTAATCAGCACTTCCTGTGTCCCCTTTGTGGCGCTACATAGCACTTGGCGCTACAACTATAACTGAATATTGGCATGTAGATGTGTTTGTGGCGTGACTGTTATCAAGCACCTAAGCTTTGGTGCAGATGTGAGCATGTACAATGAAGTTATAACAACTTCCTCTTTCATGGTGAATCATCAATTTTGTATGCCACACCACGGGCACACCGTTTCACGAAAACTCAGTACTAACTAATAATCAGTGAGATTAGACTAGACAGCGAAAATCTTAAAGTCGGTCAGACTAATTCTCTAGGAGGAGTTTGTTAAAGTACAGAGCCCTCTAAATCATCCAAAAATGACCATACAATTCAAAATGACCAACTTCCTGTTGGGATTAGGGCATCGCTTCAGGAGGCTTTTTAGTACTTCTCGACATGATACATGTGCCACAGAAATTTCATACATATAGCTGAAACGTACGGCGGGGGATGCCTCGTTAAAGGTCACTTCCTGTTGCTAGCAGGTGACGCTATGACTGTGGGTGAATGTCGGCATGTACATGTGTTCAGGGTGGGACTCTTAATAAATGTGAAAAAATCTGGTACAGGTCTAAGCATGTACAATCAAGTTATAACAACTTCCTGTGTCATGGCGAAGCGTGAAACTTTGCCGCCACGCCACCCCCACACCGTTAACTGCAAACTCAAGTTTTACATCATGGCCTTATCAATGTGTGAAGGGTTTTCTGGGTTACTTCTGAAGTTGATATGTGCAACCTGCTAGGAGTAGTACATTACAGCGTAAAACGTGTCATTTCCTGTTGCCAGCAGGAGGCGCTATGACTGAGTGAATTTTGGCATATGGATGTGAGGGTTGAGGGTGTATTATACATATAAAATCTGGTGGAAATGTGAGCATGTATACTGACATTTCGTACATGTGGTTACTTTGCAGAAAAAAAAGAAAGAAAAATAATTAAGTAATCCCTTCAGTAGGGAGTATATATATATATATATACATATACATACATATATACACACACACACACACACACACATTCCTTGTTGCTCTTGTTCTTCTCCTCCTTCCTCCTCCTTCTTCTTGTCCCCATCTGACAAAGATGTGAGTGGTGGTCTCAAGACAGGAGCTCCCATTAATTCCTTCTCTGCCTTGCCCATAAAGAAAACATTAGCTGGTTAAGTGCAGAAAAGCTACATTGACTCCACTAACAAACATAAGCTCAACAACATGAACAAATAAACATTTGACTCACAAGTCAAGGTTTGTTTTTAACTTTACACCATTAGTATTGGCTAAAGCCTATGGGATTTCACACTGCTTAAATTAGCCTAGCAGCCTTTCTCTCTACTCACAGCTTAACAAATTATATGTATAATTTATACTATTTCTTACTCACCGCTGGTTTATAACGTTGCCTCTCCCGACAACACCACGACTGAATTTCAGTCTGCATGCACATTTTGTTGAAACAGAGCAGCTGATATTACCTTTACAACAGCAACAAGCTAGTGCTTTCAAGGCAGCTCTGTTGTACTTTGAAATACAGAAGTGACGTCGTCAGCAGGCACCATCACGTGGTCTCCGAAAACGGCCAAGTGACCAGAGTCGATTTTCATTCCACCGGTGGAAAGTTTGTTTCAAAATGAGATCAACAAATACAAGTGGGACTCAAATGCCTGTTCGAAAGTGTCAAATGTTGGGAAGATATTCACAAATGTGGTTAATTTATTTGTGGAAATTTTTTGTGTATTTGCAAAATTTATAAATCTTCATTTTGTCTTTGTGGAATTTTTTTTATTTTTACAGATTACACATTTACACTAGGGCCAGCCCAAATGTAATTTTTTGAGCTTTGAAGCTTCAATAGTAATAAAAAGTGAAAAAGTGATTAATCGAAGCTTCGCTGTCACTGCCGCGGGGTGTGTGAGTGTGTGTGTGTGGGGGTACAGCGGTAGTGTCATTTGCCAATTGTTTAAACATCTATTATCTTTCTGTGTGTGCATGTGTGTGGTAGAGAGAGAGAAAAAGAGAGAGAGAGCACTCCATTTTTTTAATCCTCACAGCGTAGGTTAACTAAAACATCAAGTGAAAGTAGACCCTACTGCAGGATTAAGAGAATGAGGAGACCGATAAAAGAGGATTATTTATTGCAGGGTCGTACAGACGGGAGATTGAGCTGGGGAAAAGCAGAAGATTAGGTGTGTGCCTAACTGGGTTGCTGGTTCCAGTAGCAGGACTAAAACAATACGTTATTATGCAAAATGCACTTTTGACTTTTATTATAGCCTACTACATGTTCTTCTTCAATCAGCCTAATATAATGAGTTTTATGTGTTCATTATGTTGTTGTTTGTTTATTCTAGCATACAGTTTAGGCTATTGATTCATTTTAAAATGTATTTGACTTTTTTGATCTGTAATTAAATGAATCAACTGTAAAATGAATACACCCCATAACTGCCACACTGCCAATGTCATCATTCAGTTTAAAGTGCTCCCACACAGCTGAGGGCTTCATTTTGCATTTCCTTAAGCGTTACGTTCACTGCTGTGAGCGGATGTCAGGCGTGCGAGAATAAACTACACATTTGAATCTCAAAATCGAATGTGTACCCAAGGATCGAATATTCTAATATTCCAATATTCAGGTCCAGCCCTAATTTACACACGGATCTGTTCACACATATAATATTGAAACATTAAAAAAAAATTAACTCCATACTAAAGAGGATCAGAGGAACATGTGTTACCCTTCTAACAGGTCCATGGTAGATGTGACAACCTCAGCGTACAGCAGGGTGCGCCCCAATAGGCTGGTCTTCAGGTTCTTGCTGTAGGTCTCCATACTGAACTGTGCCCAACTCTGGGACTCTGAAGAGTTGGTGACCAGGGCCTGAGAGCCCTGAGGCAGTAAAGGACCATCCTGGAGCTCAGAACAGGACACTATCCTGAGGGATGTCTTAGACAATGTCAGGAGGCCATTTTGATCTGCACGTGTCTGCAGCCACTTCAGGAAACTGGCCTTGGCCTCCTGTGTGGAAGAGCAGAGAAGGACAATAATTCCATTAGTTGTTTCTTAAATGTGTTATTGGATATATCATCGGTCACACCAACTGCCTCTTTGAATTTAAAGTTTTGAATTGCTTTTGCATTACAATATACATAGGCCTAGGCACCTGCTATGGAGAGCAGCAAAACTTAATTTAATGTATCAACAATTATTCTATATTTCTCTTATTTTTTTAAATTAAGACTAAAGTCCATAATGTGTTAGTCTGGCTCTCAGTTACAAGCCCATTGGTCTCTGCTGAAAATGTAAATATTTTTGAGTAATTATATAGTTAAAGAATTTGCTATTTTCAGGGACTATTTTCAGCATTCATGGAAATGAAGGAACATGTCAACTAGTGCAACAGGCTCACTGAAGTGTTTCTAATAGTTTTTTGACAACTTGGAGTTCAACACGTTATGATGAACATTTTGTAGCTTTTACTGATAAAATTATTAACATTTCTGCCCCATATAAGAAGTTCTGAGAGGACTCCGAGATGAACACTCTCCAAAACATCCTGTCTTCACATTCTTCCAGGCCCCGCCAGGACAACCCTCACTAACCCAACCTCAGGGTTCATAAAAGATGTTGAGTATCTTTCAGCATGGAAACATTACATATGTGATAACTTTAATTCTTTAGAAAACAATTAAGTGTCTCTTGGGGTCTTGTTACGGAACTTGCAAAAGGGCTAATAAGCCCAGCCAATAAAATGATTGGCTGGCCTACCTTCCACCACCCGGAACTTGCTGAAGGCTGACATGGAGCCAACTCTGAAAGCAAGAACTATCTGAAAGAAGCCTGCTCAACATCCTTGTTCTAACATCACAAGTTAGAACTAAAGAAACCCTGAATCCTACACACCCCAGCTCAACCCAGATAATTGTGTTTGATTCTTCATTACAGTGGCTAATTATCCGCTATAGATTTAAACTAAACAAACTGAACAAAAAGCTTTTCATGGAAAATGCAATACTTATAGTCTCTACTGACATTATGATGTCAGCTGACATAAGGTCCATATTCTGATTTTATATTTGAATTCTCAGACTTCTTGTCGGCGGGAGCTTCCTTGAAATGTTAGAGGGGGCGCTATTGAGACATTTATTGCACCCATACCCCAGAAACATATCAAATAGCCCAAGTTCTGTGAGATTTCAAGCATCCTTTCCCTCCCTTCAACAAACAGCCTCCTGTTTAATGGTGAATAATGTCTCGCAACGGGAACCACTGTTGTCCTAAACTCACACTTAGCTCACAATATAATATCTTACAATATATCATCATGCATGTTTATAGGTGATACATATTTATTGGTCCTTTCACAAATTCATAGCGTGTCATACAGCAAACATCAGACCAACAACCAGACAGCTGCTTTACAAACACAAACATCACCAAGTGCTACAAGTTATACTAATGGCTTGTGCAGACTACACGACTTTCAGCGTCGCCCGACAGTGACTGATTGGTGACAGGGGGTAACACACTACACGAGCTGACAGCAGCTGTGTCACCCGAGAAAACGTGAAATGGGAAATGAGCGATCCTGCACACGAAACAACTGTTTGTTATTATAAAGATAGCAATTATAAAGACAAAGAATATGGGTGAAAGGATGGATTACCACAGCAGGTAGCAGGGGTTGTCTGAGCTACAGAGAGAGCTGGAGCTTATTTTGGTTTCAACTCAACAATGAATCATGATTTCAGCTAAATGCTGAAGTTACTGTTACCTTGTCTGTGGTCCGCTGGCAGAACACCAGGTGCTTTCTGATCAGATGCTGTCGGGCTGTTACCAAGGCAACATAAATTTCGTTTTAAAGTGGACGGACGGTAACATTACAGAGTTGTTGTTTTCTTTAGCTTGAAATAATCCCATACTTTAGACACTTTCTTCTTTGCCCCTTAATATTTTCTCTCTCTTCCTCCACTTTGCAAACAGTGCCATTATAATCACGTTGTGTTCATAGCGTAAAACGCGATGTGCGACAGTAATAAATGTCCCAGTGTGCTGTATAGTTATATGGCACGGCATTAAACCTCAGTTGAGAGTTGCAGGCATAGATGTGCACATGGATAAGGTTTCTCCTGTGTGTTCACTTTTCTTTGTCCCCCGAAAGTAAGTTTTTTGGTTGTTTAATACATTATTTGACATGTATAATTGACCTAAGTTTACTTTCTATGTGCAATGTTAGTTGTAAATGCACAGAATTAACAGGAATTTATTCTAGTGTGACAGAGATGCTAATTTGTGATAAAGTTAGGCTAGATACTAATGTTAACACATAATTTGCATGTAATTTGGTTGATGGCCAGCTGTTTTGTAGTCATACAGCAATTTTATTGTTTGTTATCAAAGAGACATAAGTATTTTCTGCCCTTTGTTTATTTCAGTTTCACTCATGAGTTTTCACCTGTCGAACATGAAGAACAAAGTCAATAAAGGAGCAAGGCGCTCACTTCCTGGCTTGTGAAAATTGAGTTGGCTGGCTGTTTACTTACATTAACATACAAGCTGTATATAACATGTAACGGGAACAGTACATGTTTAAACACTTTTAGACTGAATTAAAATCCAAATCTACAACTCATACATACAGTATAAAACTCTCCATGGGACACACTATAAATTACATTTACTCATTTGGCAGATGCTTTTATCCAAAGCAACTTACATTTGAGGAACAACATACAAGCGTCAACAGAGCATCAAATACAGATCTACAACTGACAATACATACTAGTAAGAGCAGCAATAAATACTAGTAAGAGCTCATAGTACATATCACAGCAATGGGGTAAATACCTAGAAAGGAAGGAAGAGTTAACAAAAAGTGCAATCAATGAGTGATTGTCGGGACCACGGTACGAGATATGGCTTGGAGGAGATTCGTAGGAATCAGTAATTTAGTTGGACGGCTACGGGTCAAGAGTTCTGATACTTCGCTCTCTGTGAGAGGAGTAAACGAGGAGAGTGAAGAACCACTGACCTGGGAGGGCAGAGGAAAAGATGTAGTTGGACTGCTACAATGGTTGAGTTTGAATGTTTCAGAGAATTGGCTAGTTATAGCCTCCACTTTGCCTGTGAAGAAGGCAGCAAGGGTATCAGCAGACAAGTTTGTGGGTGGTGGAGGAGGATTTAGTAGCGCTTTAAAAGTGGAAAATAATTTCCTTGAGTCAGTGGATGAACTGAATGAAATAGTGGTCTGACACAGAGCTATGACTGTTAGGCACTCTGTGGCACAGTTTCAGACAAGAACGAGGTCAAACACCTTGCCAGCTTTGTGGGTCAGGGGGCCCGTGTTAAATCAAAGGACTGAATCAGATACAGGAAGTCTGCTGAGTTTGAATTGTCTAAGTGAATGTTCATGTCACCGAGGACAAGTAGGGGACAGTCATGCTCTGGTATTCAAGACAGCAGTGTGTCTAGCTCTTCCACAAAGTTACCCATTTGTCCTGGTGGACGGTATATGACAAAATCACAGACCTTTACCAGAGCGGACACAAAGACAGCATGGTATTCGAAGGAGGCATATTGATTCGGGGTAGCAGCTGTGTGAATTTCCATTTGTTGGACATTGTGTGGGTGAAAGAGTAATTGGTGTACAGCGCAGCGGGGTAGCTGAGTTTTCTGGTTTGATCCAGGTCCCAGTGAGCACCAGAGATAATGTGTTAGCATAAGCAGTGATGAAGTCAGCTTTGTTGATTGCAGACTGGCAGTTCCACGACCCAACAGACAAGTAAACAGATGTGGGTGGTGCCTGTTTTAAAGGCTTGAGGAGTACCTGATTTCTGTGCCTGATGGCATGATACCTCTTGCGTGGACCGGAGACAATAGGAATAGTATAGTAGCACATGGCCTAAGTGTAGTTGTAGCTGGCAGCTTTAGGTGAGTAGGTGTGTCTCGGGAAAGGACAAAGCTACTCTTGATCAGTGGACTCGCACAGGTAGACTCACTGGTCTTTACCCAAGTAGGTCTTCACACAAGGGGCCGACGCTTACGCTGACACTTCAGTGGTTCAGGTTTCACTGAAGTAGTATGAGATCGCCCTCCGGATTAACAAGACAAAAGCTTGGTTTCAGTGGGTGGGACACAAACCCAGTTGTTTGACTATACAGGACACAGGATGTTCAGAATGGGTCTTGCAGTCAAACATCTGCCTGAACTGCTCAGGTAACATCTCTGATAGTCACATGTATGCTATTGTGCACCTGTCCAAAAGTTCTGGCAGATGCATCACACATGCTTCTCACTGCCCTATGTATCACCATGAAAACTATACTCAAAGTGGAAGGCTCCCCTCGACCTTGGCGGGGTGGTCGCTCGCTCTGAGGTGCTGGGGGTGCTCGAAGGGCTCTTGCTACAAGCCCTGGGGTGGAGGGACCTGACGTCCTCTTGCCTAGGGGGGCAGGGGACGGGGCTGAATGCCGGGGTCATTCTCCCTTGGGGCAGGCATGGCTGTCCCCGGCGCATGTGGTCTCGAGTCCTTTGCACTCTGGGAGAGTTGCAGGGTGACCTGGCTGCTGGGATTCTTGCCTGCCTGCCGCTGGGGCCGGTGTGGTGCTGTTGTGGCATCCCACTGTCTCTTACAACTACATCCAGTGACAGGCTTATATACACACATAAACACACACAAATAAATTTAGGTTGTCCATGACTGTCAACAAGTAGCTGCATTATTCTTTATGCATGTCAGTAAGTTATTATTAAAAAATGCAAAGCCAGGTCGACTGTCCTCCAGCAATGACTCCATGCCCCCGACATGCGGAAAGGTGTGAGGCTGAATGTTAAATCTGTGACATTACTAGTTTGTTTTTGCATGAATAAAGAAAAACCCCAGAGATTTTGGTACTAGGTAAAGTAAATTTATGTAGTTACGGATCCTATGATGTCTGCTGGAAGACCAACATCAACATATACAAAATATCATCGGCAACTCTCAACACAAACTGGACAAAATTTTATTTGATCGTTTTATCAATTATGCCTTCATTGGCCATAATCCCAACGTTAACTTCAACATTCTCCAAAAATGTAACCGCACTGAGCGCAACACAGAGTAACCTCCTGCAGTCAGTCACTTCGAAGGTTGATCAAAGACTGATTTACTGCCCTTACATGTTTGGACAGCCCTCTGTACACAGACTTGCCACAAGCCTCCTGAATATATGCTCATATATCACATTTAGGAAGCCAAATTGTTTCCACATGTGTAGTATGCAGAATATCTATGTTGCTGCTCATACAATTAATTCTAATAAAAACAATAAGGTGATCACCGTAGGATACGTGAAAGGATAAATGAATAAGTGGATGAATGCTTAGGTTATGGTAAAATTGATATTTGTTACCACTTAACTGTATTTTTACATTCTTCTAAACAATGACAGACCAACTCTTACCTTAACACAGTCCTACTTATATCTTTGTACTTGTCCCAGCAACATGCTGCTTTCACTGTGACCTAAATGTAAATGCTCCGTACTTGTATAGCGCCTTTCTAGTCTTTTCGACCACTCAAAGTGCTTTTTACACTACATCTGCATTCACCAGTCACACACATTCATACACTGAGCCTAAGTGCTCAAACGGAAACTAACATTCACACTCATTCATACACTGGCGGAACAGCCGCCAGGGGCAAATCGCAACCAGGGGGAGCCAGGGATCGAACCGCCGACCTTCCAATTAACGGCCAACCCGCACAGCCGCCCCAAGACCCCAAGACCTGTGACCTTATCTTAATCCTGAGGTCTGACAAAATACTGACAGATGTCAGTACCCATTGCCTGTGGGTCTTACCTGAGAAGTTGCCAGCAGGTGGACTGGGCTTGGGGTTGGAGTCTGGTTCAGCTCACAGCTGAGGCCAAGAGAGGTTAGGATTTCTGTCAAGACTTCATAACGTAGTGCATTGCTGACCTTTAGTTCATCAAAACCTTCTGATGTCAAATTCTGGGAGTCAGGAGCAAATTCCAGGTGTGCCTGAGGACAGGGAACACAGTATATTCAAAAGTCAGCACTCACGTAACTCCCTCCCAGCCTGTGCATTACCCACAACAAACTCTTATTAAAGAGGTGATATTCTGCTTTTTGGCTTTTCCCCTCTCCTTTATTGAGTTATATATCTGTTTTGTGCATGCAACAGGTTTGCAAAGTGAAAAAGCCCAAAGTCCAGCCCAAAGAGAGTTCCCACTGCTCTGAACCGCCTGAAAACAGCCCGTTTGTAGTCCAGCCCTTCACTTCCTTTACTTATGACGTCACAATGAAAACGCGTCATAAAGCTTGCCAAGCGGCTAGCGGGGTCAGGCACGCCCTCAAACCAAGCTAGTCTGAGCGGAGGCCCTTTGGTTCGACTCGCCTTTGTTTGGGTTTCCATTGTAGAAATGTTGCACCTGTACCTGCTTCCAGGTACTTCGTATCACCTCACCTCCGTTGAGGTTCCAAGCGAGCTGAGGGAAACTAAAATGTAACGTGAAAACACGACAGACTGCTGATTGGTCAGAGAGAATCGTCACTATTCATTGCATCATCATTGCTGCACCAGACAGAGGCCAGCAACAGAAAGTTTTATATTTTACAGTTTTCGTATGGAATTTCATCACTAAATCCACTTCTGAGAAGTTTTGAGGTGAGAAATCAGCTGTGTAGATTTCCAATATTGACAGTTTTACGAGAAGTGATGGCGGAACAAAAATGTGATGAATATTTTGGGAGTTGAGGAGCTCTGCAATGGCTGCGGGGGAAGCCTATACCAACCAGGAGGAGCGTGTGAGGCCGGCCAGCCGCCCGCTAACAGAGCCCTCTGCTCCCGCCGTCACACAGACCGCTGCAGCAACAACGGCAGAGGAAAACACAGCTGGAAGCTTTTCATACCGCTTATCTGTCTTTACATTCTGAGGAATGTTGAAACGTTTTAACTTTACAAAGAGAAAGCTGTGTGGATCACTGGTGTGTGTGTCGCATTGAACATTACGTCGCGGCAGTTGTGTGTGACATCGCTATGACAACAAGCTACGTACTATCTCTGGGTACTATCTGCAATGGAAAACGGAGCAGGGCCGAGTAGAGCCCAGTCTATCAATTTGCGCTATAGTAGCATTTTTCAGCAATGCAGCATAGATCGTCAGAACACCGGCAACAGTTCAACGTTTAGTCCTAAAGACAATGCAACTGCGACTCTGTTTGGGCCTGGAAATTCACAATCACAACCTGTAAGTATGCTTTATTGGTTGTGAATTATATTTAAAATAAACACGGCAATGTATCTTCACAGACTGTTCAAGTGCGGAGTTGTTGTAAACGTTGGCTAACACAGCTAAAGGTATAGCGATAATGCTAATGTTACACCTGATGCGAAAGCTACTGAGCAAACGTTCAAATTGTTTGGCCAATTTTTATGTAAAATTTAGTTGAAATATGGTGATTTTTGTAGTGGTTTATGGTAAGATGTGGAACAATGATGTTGTGGACTTGTGAGTAACTTCACTATCATCTGCTAGGTTACGGTCGTACTCTGAAGCGGCTTTGATTTGGATCGCACTACCTTGTTTCTTACGACCCGCCCTTCTCTGCTTCTGATTGGCTTGTAGTCCTTACCTGGGAACTGCGCATGTGCAACTCCCAACAAAGATTTTGTACAAGTAAGATGCATCACTCTGGACCTCAAGAGCGGAGCGTACAACACATAGGGTGAAAAGAGGAGCTGCAGCAATGTGCAATATGAGAAAAATATGGTGTTTTTTCAAAATTAAACCATGTAAACCTGTTCTGGTACAACCCCTAATTAAGATTTTGAACCTGAAAATGAGCATAATACCACCTCTTTAAAACCTAACCTTTACAGTTTAATTAAAAATGTTTTAATCTAATACTATTTTGATTTATCGGGGATTCGAATGCTTGAATTTATCGGACTGAGCTCTGCTTGCGCGGTTCAACTTAGACAGCAGCAATACTCGCAGGAATTCTCACCAACCACTCATATCTACCTTTCAAAATTACACTTTGTTGGCCAAATTTACTAAGGGGTAGATGCAGATTAGTTGAGCTCTGCTTATCAAACGGTGCACCTGGCTGGAGATGCAGTTTACGTCTCATTGCATGTGTTATTATTTAAAGGCACTATTGTGCAATTAATAGGAGACATGTTAACAGTAGTTGATTCTGTATTCTAGTGAATCACGTACATATACACACACACACACACACAAACTACTACAACCATCACTGTTAATGTCAATGTTTTACCTGACAGAGGACAGCTTCCCCTCCGTCCTCTCCGTGGGTTACCCTGACTATAACCATATCCCTCTGACCAGGGATGTTGCCTTTCAGCTCCCCCCAGAGCTCCACTTCCCCTCCTCCCTGAGTATCCCTGATGTAGACCTTCCCGCTCGCCACCAAGCTCAGTTCCAGCTCTGTGCTGTCCTCCCTGGTGAAACTCAGCCTGCTGACCTGCCTGCATCGCCTCTCCCTGACTTCCAGACAGAGGCCTGCAGGACACAGAGTGGAGGCTAGCCCCAGGACCCTGCCACCCTGGCTAAGGTAGGTGAGAAAGCGGGTCTGAAGCTGGGGGGTCAGGGTTTCCTCCTCTGCCAGTACCAGTAGCCTGCAGTTGTCCAGCCAAGGATCGCTCAGAGCCTGCTGTGGTTGGAGGGGATATATTATGTTGTTTTCCATGTTTATACACTCTGACAAAAGCTGATGAATTGCCTGAAAACGCTCCTGACAACCACCCGTATATACCAGAACATTTGGCGGTTTGCTATTACAGTGAAATCCACCGCTTTGACCATAAAAACCTTGCTCAGCTTCATTCAGAGTCTCATCCCCACTATCCAGATCTACTGAATTATCATCAGGAAGGTCTGGAATGTTCTCAGCTGAGGCATATTTGACTGAGAGGATGGTGCTGTTCTCCAGCTCCAAACATTCGTGACAGCTGGATAGATGGAGGTGGTGTCCATGACCCTCCATATGGTGATGATCCCCCAAGGAATGGTCCTCTGAGTCACCAACAGGTCCCAAATCCTGTGTGCTGCGGACAGGTTCTGATCCTCGACGCTGCTCTAACCTCCTCTTTGCCTCCAAGGTAAGAAGAAGGCTGCCTTTACAGCACTGTCGGTGGTGGTGTTCAGCTGACAGGCGACAAGGCAAAGGCTCAACAACACCTTCTTCAGTCTGGTTGTCACAGAGCCATAGGGACGTCTCAGTCTTAAGGCTTTGTGGACACTGCTTCTCCAACAGCTCACTGAGAGTGGATTCTTGGAGAAGGACAGCTATGAGAAAATAGAAAATTGTCAGTGCAATCTGGACATTTTGTAAATAATTTTTTACACATTGTTATTATAAAAATACTACAGATTATTAAGTATTTCTGTTAACAAGACCATAATAAACTGAAGGTAAATGAGGTATTAAAATAGTCCGAGCTGAATTAAAGGTTCAGTGTGTGAGTTTTAGTGGCATCTAGTGGTGAGGGTTGCAAACTGCAACCAACAGCTCACTGTTCATTCACTTGCTCCACTTGCTCCTCAGACGAAATAAGTACTTTATAATAAATGTATTAATTATAATGGCAATTGTAAAATTGAACAGTAAAAAAACAAAACAATTATCGATCTGACAAATTATCGTCCGATATCAGGCATATTTTCATCATTGGAATCATCAAATGAAATTTTCGCCAATAAGATCAAATAATGCTTTAACGTGCGCCACTGTTGTTGTCGCGCTTGCTGCGCCTAGATAGAGCCAGGCAGACATGGTGCAGGCAGCTAGAGCCAAACACACGTGTTGTCAATAGTCTGGATGTTTTTCACTGTTTCAGAAGAAGACCCTGTCCAGCTTCTGTCCTCTTGCCTTCTCTCTCTCTCCTGTGATTAACTGCAGGTAACAAGGTCCCAAATGTTAAGCTACATGGCAAACTACGCTGAACAGAAAGATTTCAATTTAGCTTGTTTGTAACATTTGGCTAATGGCCAAGCTAATGATAGCTGTACTTGTATAAAACACAGAGGATTACAGACTGGACAGAGCAGATATTGTCTTTTTACTTGCAAAAGCGTAGCTGTTGTCGAATTCAGTAGTTTGGAGTTACTTTCACTTCACCGTTTCCACCACGGCCTCTCCCTCTGCTGGCCACTGTGTGAGTGCGATACCCGCATGTGTACACGCGCAGGAGTCAACACAGACCGCAGCAATGGCTGCAGCCTGATAATAAACAGTAAGTCACGGTCTTCAGCACTGGGCCCATTAAATAACTTATCAACTATCAACAACATTAATGACACTTTTTTTAATTCATGCGTTTCAAGTTAAATCCGATTTGATTTATATTACATGACTTGTCTCTCAAGACATAACGTTCCATTATAGGTCCAGCTAGACATAATAACAGTATCTATAAGCTCAGACCTTACTGATTTAACTTTACTTTTATTTTTCTTATTGAGTTAGTTGCATCTCTCAGTGCATACTAGTGGGATCTTTTTGAAAACATATTGACTATTCTTGATGCCAGTGAATAGCTGACTAGAGATATTAGCTCAGCTACAGGCATAGCAGCAGACGTGATCTCCTCCTTCTTTATAACTTACACAAATGCGAAGAAATTATCGGTTATCGGATCCGTGGGGGGAAAAAAAATCCATATCGTGCATCACTAAAACCTAACTTTGTACCTATTCTCCATGAGGTTATACAAAAACAAAAAAGGCTGTGAAAACTATGTCTATATAATATAAACTACCCCTGGCAAAGTTATTATTCTTACACACTCTGTTTCTTCTTACATTGACAAGTATACAAAAAGTATACAACAATGTCCCATGTGAACTTTATTCCTCTTTTTGCAATAAAGATTTAAGGAGGAAAAAAACAATTCTGATTATTCCAATCGGTCTCTGCTCAATCCTCCCTTTTCAAGCGCGGAAATCCATTGCCCACTTCACCCAATGGTGTAAAGACAGTCACCTCCTCCTCAACATCACCAAGACAAAGGAACTCATCCTGTAAAATCTCCACCCCTCACTGTCCCATCCCCATAAACAGCCAGCCAGTAGAAATTGTTGACAGCTTCAGGTACCTTGGCATCACTATGGACAGTAAACTGAGTTTTGATCACCACATCACAGACATCCACAGACGCTGTCAGCAGAGACTTTTTGTCATACGAAAACTCAGGACTGTCAGTCAAACCACACCTACTGCTTCACCTGTACCGTAGTATCATTGAAGTCATCCTCTTGTACTGTGCTACCTGCTACTTCACCATGCTCTCTCTCACCAAGAGGAATAAGTTTCTTAAAATCACTAACACTTTCTCCAGAATAATAAGTCTTTCCACTCCCAACCTGCCAGCCCTCATTAATACTGCCACTGCTCGTAGAGCAACTACCATAGTACTTAGTCACTGACTAATTAGGCTGCTTTACTTAAAACTTTAAATTTTTCTGTAATGGATTCATTTCAATATTGAGTAATGCAGTATGATAATCAAATAAACATTTTAACGGACTACATGTCCTCATGCTGATAATGTGCCATGCGGTCTTGGAGCTGGAGCTTGTCCGGGGGAATCCCACACCGGATGCAGCGATGTGTCGACATATTTACGTAATTGATAACGACGAATACGTCAAATCGCCTCCACCCGAATGTGTACATTGTCTGTATATGTGTACTATATGTAGTTTGTGTAGAATTCATGCTGAAGGTGCTCTTTGTATAGACTGTGAAAACAAATTTTGTCCACTGAGGACAATAAAGAATGAACCTGAATCTGAAGCTATGGTGGGCGACACACTCTGTTGGCTCTTGTGCTAAATAATGCATGTGGTCTTCCATATGTCCAAATTTCATTTCTCTTCTTACTTCTAAGAAACCAGATGACTACAACTACTAGTACTTCTATTTCTTTTTCATACTTATTCAACATAGTGACAAAACCCGCTCTGTAGAGTAGTTTCATCGTTCGGGCAACTGTAGCAACATGGGTGGGAGAAATAATCAATTCTTAGATGCATCGCGATGCGGACGTGGAAGATTATGAATCATTAACAAATGTCAAAACATCTATTTAATGTTAATTTATAACGTAATGTTGACGGAACGCAAAAGGCGGAACTCGTGGAAGTGCAGCGCCAGCAACAGAGACCAGCAGTGTTCCCCTGTATTCGGCACACCACCGCTGCGGAATGAATAACCACCCTGCTTAAATGTCACACAATCATTAATATCAATGCGCAAGTAATGATTTTAACTTGCACACTGCGAGCATGGTGACACTCAACGCTTGGCAGCTCCCTGCGTATCCTGTGTGAGGCCATGCGAATGATACAGCGTGGCAGAACATGACAGTGACAGTTAGCGGACAAATATATTAGCAGTAAGTTTCTGTCTGGTAGTAAACGTGCAGTGTAGGCCACAGTGTGTCCATTAATTTCATTTGTTTCCCCAGCTGCTAGAAAAGTGAAGGCTGTTAGCTCAAGCTAACATCTCCCCTGTACAAGTGCTTGCTCTGTCCCCCACACCAGACTCCGGACTTTTGGGGACAGAGCCTTCAGTGTCACAGCCCCCACCCTCTGGAACTCATCCCCGCAAAGATGCAAAATACTCCCTGTCTGGACACAAAATCTACTAAAAACCCAGCTTTTTACCAAGGCATTCAATCCTGAATGACTTTATGTTGTTCTGTCACTGTAACTGTGTAAAACGTCCTTGGGTCCCGTGAAAGGCACTAAAAATATTTATTTATGTAACGTTAGCTAAATTAGTAACAAAGTAATAGTAATTATCTGCTGTAACGTTATGCCACCACTAATGTCAATGACCCGTGGTGAATGTAGATAAAAACATAACGGTACATTATATAGGGTCTTTATACAGCAATGAAGACTTAGTTATGTGTATTATATTGAATTCCTGTCAATAGATCCTCCTAAATATTACACACTGAAACTTTAGGGGATTTTTAAAAATATTTTTTAATTGGGAGCACAAGAACACACATTAACAAAGCGTGAGCTTATTAGCAAACCTCGTCTATTTACAAATCCAATTGGCAGCATTAGCACCTGTGGATTCATGATGAATGTAAGACCATTATTCACCAATCTTCCCTCTTCTTTTATCTCTGGTTTGGTTTCCGCTAACTAATGAGAAAAATATTTGGCTCTTTATGTGGTAAAAGCTTCATTATTTTTAACTTTAGTTAACTGTGTGCACAATTGGCGATTAAATAATTATTTAAATTAGGGATACACCCAAATGAAAATTCTTGGCCGAAGCCGAATATAAAAGTAAACATTTGCCGAATACCGAACAAGGGTCCCATAAAGTAAATTACACGTGTCCATTTACTTTTAATGTACACATGTAATATATATTATGCTTCTGAATATAATCCAATTAATCTTATTTCCATAATGTATAGACGCCTTATTTTCAAAACCAGACAATGACATGTATATCCTCGCCAATATTCATCAAGTCCGACCCAATTTGATAACTAATGTTTTATGTGGTTCTCGCATCACATAACATGAAGACTTCACAGCCTCTCTTCAGGTAGGACTCTCATACTGCAACACTTGTCTTTGTAAAGAGAGAAAATCAGATTTAACTTTATTTTCACTGCGCATGTCACTGGTACAAAGCAACAAAATGCAGATCGCATCTAACCAGAAGTGCTTAAGCAGTAATTAAATAGAATAAGATACATTACTATACAAGTGCAAGGTATGAATGATATATAACATAAATATGTGTATCCAGGTAAATACAGGCTATGACTATGGCAATACGGTATAAAAGAAAACTATACAACATGTACTGTAGTGCAAATGTGATTATTTTGGGGGTTATACAGTATGTACAGGAGGAATGTCTATGTATAGGGAATGATTTACAGTATATGAATGTAGTATGTAGAATGTACAGTAGTATGTACAGCAATGGTATGCCTAGATGAAAGGTGCAGTTAATAGTGCAGCGGTGTCAAAGTCCATGATGGTAGTGCAATTGGCAAGTGTAGCTGGTTCCATACACACAAATATATATATATATATATATGCTTCGTTAGAGTTCATTTCCTGTTGCCACTCTAATTAAACGTGTAAATTTCATACAGATCTGAGCATGTACAGTCGAGTTACAAGAACTTCCTGTGTCATGGTGAAACGTGGAACTTCACCCACGCCACCGCCACGCCATTAACTGAAAACTCACAAGTTTTACAACATGGCTTCATCAATGTGTTAAGGGTTTTCTAGGACAGTTTTGAAGATAACATGGCCAACCTACTAGGAGTAGTACATTACAGCATAAAACATGTCATTCCCTGGTGCCAGAAGGTGGCGCTATGCTTTTGAGTGAATGTTGGCACACACATTCCAAATTTGGTGCAGATGTGAGCATGTAGACTGAAGTTACAACAACTTCCTGTGTTATGACGAATCATCAATTTTAGACACCATGCCACGGGCACGCCGTTCCACGAAAACTCACCATTTGTATAACTTTTAATCTTCACATAGCTAAACTTTGGAGGCGTAACCATTGGACAATCAAACATTTTGTTGCAAATAGTCAACTGGGGCACAAAAAGCGCATGGAGATGAAAAGGTACAAATTAAGTGCAAAAGACTTAGGTAGAACTAAACGTGAAGCTACCAGGAACCCTTTTTATTTCCAAGTGCCACTATATTCCAAAACTAAAACCTACCTGGGGTGTCCAGAAGTGCCAAGTGCTCAGAGACATGGCCAAGGTCAGGAAGGCTGAAACACGACCACCACGGAATAAGATTCACAAGTGGAAGCGTCAAGATTGGGCAAAGAAAAACCTGAAGACAGATTTTTCAAATGTTTTATGGACCGCTGAAATGAGAGGGACTCTTGATGGACTAGATGGACGGCCTATGGTTTGATCACTGATGGACATGGCACCACTTGGCCAGCAAGGTGGAGGAGGGGTACTAGTATGGGCTGCTATCATTAAGGATGAGATAGCCCGACCTTTTCAGGTTGAAGATGGACTGGAATTCAACTCCCAAACCTACTGCCAGTTTCTAGAAGATACTTTCTTCAAGCAGTGGTATAGGAAGAAGTCCTCAGCATTCAAGATGATCTTTATGTAGAACAATGGTCCATCACATGCATCCAAGTACTCCACTGATTGGCTAGCCAGCAAGGGCATCAAAGATCCCCAAATAATGACCTGCCCCCTTTCCTCACCTGACTTGAATCCTTTTGACAACTTGTGGGCCTTTCTCACACATGAGATTTACAATCAAGGAAAACAATACACTTCCTTGATAAAATTTGGGAGGCTGTGGTTGCTGCTTCAGCAAAAGTTGATAGTGAGCAGATCAAGAAACTGGCAGACTCCATAGATGGAAGGCTCATGGCAGTTATTGAAAAGAAGGCTGGCTATATTGGTTACTAAATGTTTTCGAAAGACCAAAAAAAAAATTTCAATTGTCATTTTATGTTGTAACACAAGTAATTTGATACAAATTATTTTGGTATTTTAGTTGCCTAATAATTCTGTACATTTTCCTTAAACATTCAAGTTTAAGGGTTAAATTATATTTTGGATTGACTAAGAGCATTGTGTTTGTTCAACAATAATATTAACCTGAGGAATATAATTTGCCTAATAATTGTACACAGAGTATATCTGTCAGGTATTTGGTGCTGGGAGCTTACAGGTTGTAAAATAAAAAAAAATTAACTAAAATAGGCAACAGAGCTCTATAGAGCTGAGGGGAACTGCAGAGTTAGTGATAAGTCTCAATTGTTGCTAAGTGACATCATAATACGAGAGATATTAAATGTAATTGAAGGCAACATACGGACTATTTTTGAAGGCACAAGTCCATTGTCCAGCTGAAGGCGATCTTCGATAAAAGCCACACCCAGCCGACTGAAGTTATCTATGCTGGCCTGAGCCACCGCCCTGAACGGCTCGCCAGGGCTAAAGGCCAGAGGAAGACAGCAGTCCGACCACTTCAGCACCTGCAAACAACACACACCACCAGTTAGCTGACAGTCTGTACTGATCCACAGCACAGGCAAAGTATGGAGGTTATTATGTCCTGCTTATCATACAAATCTCTCCGTCTCTGGTGAGATGGAAAATGGGAGAGAAAAACGCTCACGTACTGAAGTGATTGTGAACTATAAAAAAATTTCTTTAGATGCAATTGTCAAAGTAACAGCAGATGATTAATTTAGAAATTCTATACATTAAAATGTATTTTTCGCAATAGCAACTTCAAATTAATTTCACACTTGTGGTTAAATATTGTTATGAAACATATCCTGCAAGTTTTATATTTGGACAAACATTTTCTGATCTATAGCATGGTTTGTGTAATTCCACATTCAGTTATTATGAATTTATAGCACCTCCTAGTGGTTGATTTGAATGAGACTTGCAGCATATCAATGAACATATTAGCTTTTCAGCAATGTAAATATACCCTAAGCCTATTTTTTATATGTAGACATATCCTGGAAGTTTAGTGTTGACTGGACAAACATGTAACATTTGTAACCTGTGGCCTGATCTGCATTATCTCACCTGCAGTTTGATTGCATTTATAATGCCTCCTGGTGTTCAAGTTGAATGAAACTTTCAGGGCATGTTTCAGGTACTTATGAAGACATATCCTGAGAAAGTTGTGATGATTGGAGAATGAATATGTGATTTATAGTGAAATTTGTATAATGCCACACCTTTCTTGCACTTGTAGCGCCCCCTAGTGGCATATGTATGAAACTGTCCAGGTATATCTGGGGCACAGTTCTGTGATGATTGGCCCTACAGTTGCTGATTTTTGTTCATTAATGTCTAGAGCCACGTGCCTTTCAAAGTTCATTGGTCCATATCTTGAAAAGTAATTGAGATATCAATAAGCTTTATGCAACTTTTAATAGGCTTGATCCAATGAAGATTTACTGAAAATGTGGTGGCAACTGGAGCAACCGTCTAAGAGGTGATGTCAAAAATTTGTTATTCCAAAAATTCAAAATGGCGGAAAGATTTTATAGGTGGACCTTAAAAGTCTTTGAGGCTTTTTTGTAGAGCACATTGAGCTGGACTTCGTGGAGCGCACACAACCGAGACCAGCAGTGTTCCCCTGTATCTGGCACACCACCGCTGCGGAATGAATAACCCCCCCAATAAAATGTCACACAATCATTAATATCAATGAGAAAGTGATGATTTTAACTCGCACACTGTGAGCATGGTGACACTTGACGCTCTGCAGCTCTCTGTGTATCCTGTGTGTGAGGCCAAGTGAATGAATGAATGAATGAATGAATGAATGAATGAATGAGCAAGAGAGCGCGCATGCATGCAGAACATGCGGTGAAAGTTAGCAGACAAATATATTAGCAGTAAGTTTCTGTCTGGTAGTAAACGTGCAGTGTAGGTCACAGTATGTCCGTTAATAAGTCTGTAGTTTCCCCAGCTGCTGGAAAAGTGAAGGCTGTTAGCTCAAGCTAACATCTCCCCTGTACAAGTGCTTGCTCTGTCCCCCACACCAGACTCCGGACTTTTGGGGACAGAGCCTTCAGTGTCACAGCCCCCACCCTCTGGAACTCATCCCCCCAGAGATCCGAAATACTCCTTGTCTGGACACAAAATCTACTAAAAACCCAGCTTTTTACCAAGGCATTCAATCCTGAATGACTTTATGTTGTTCTGTTACTGTAACTGTGTAAAACGTCCTTGGGTCCCGTGAAAGGCACTAAAAATATTTATTTAGTTATGTAACGTTAGCTAAATTAGTAATTTTGATTATCAGCTGTATGTCATTACTAGCTAACCTACTAGTCATGTGTTGAGACATCAGGCAAAAGCTTAGACTAAACTGGTGTACAGCTCTGTCCTGTATACATACTGGACATCCTGATAATTATTTCAGTTTTCAGGAGTCTGACAACTGGTTGTTCATGAAATGACTGACCATGGAGCTGAGGTTAATAAAGTAAATTAGGGGTGCAAACTAGTGCTTTTAAGCCAATTAGGAGATGTTTCTTTTGGATTCTAATACTCAAGTGTACAAAGCATTTACTTTGTAATTATTCAGAGATCCTGTATAGAAAAAATTATGCATCAAGATGAATCGATAATCATTTTATAATCGAATCGCAGCACTCTGAATCGTAATCGAATCGTGACGTGCCCAGAGATTCCCAACCCTATGAGATACACTGGTTAAGTATTGATTTTAACGTTCTCTATTGCTCTGGTTTCATGGACATGAAATGCCTCCAAAGCACGAACAGAGGGCGCTCAATGTCCAAACATTCCTGGCACATCACTGTTTAGCTTTTATATCCATTTTATTTGAGGTCCAGTCCACTGTTGTTGAAACAAATACATAGAGCTATCAACTATTTTAAAGAAACACTGTTTATCCACATAAACATTGATTGCATTTAGAAAGACTAAAATACAAATTTAAAAACACCACAGCAATTCAGTGGGAACTGAACTCCACACAGGTGTTTGAAGTTGAAAGCAATTACCACTGCTGGCAGTGGTGGGATTTGAACCTGGGTCTGACTGAAAAGAGCTGCTTGGGAAACCAACCCTCTAATCAAGTGAGCTATAGAAGGAGACTTCTGAAGAAGCCACAATTTGATAATTTGTTGATAGAAAAGTGCATTTGCTTAAAAAAAGGTTTTCAGCTATCAATTTCGTGTTTTTAGTTAGTGCTCGAGTATAAAAACATACATTATGTGCCCACACTCGAAAACAGGAAGGAAGATTTTGCAAGTTAAAGAACTGGTGACAGGGGAGAACCTAAAGGAGTAGCATAAAACTTTTAGGCTCAACCATAGGCAAGGCCCCGGGGCCTGACAGCATCCTGGGTGCTAAAGACCAGCACCATGGAACTATCACCAATTCTACACTCTTTTCCGTGAATCCTAACAGTCTGCCACAATACTCACCCCAGTGCAAAACTGCAACAATAATCCCAGTGCCCAAAGAACTAGGCTTGTTCCAATTAGCGATTGGAACGCTTATCGACGATTGAATTGCTTTTTTCATTCTCACAGCGTAGGCTAACTAAAACAGCAAGTTATTATTATTACCAACACTGTTTTTAACTGTGTTATGTCTAGGCTAGTAGAAACTAGTGCAGGACTAAGAATGAGGAGACAGATAAAAGAGGAATATTTACTGCGCGGGTTGAAGGTACGGAAGATTGAGTAGAGGAAAAGCGGAAGATTTGGTGCGTGCCAAAACGGGTTGGTGGCTGCAGCGCAGAGCAGGTTGTACCAGAGTCCAGACTGAGAGGCTAAACTGAGCAGGTCCAGAGCAGAATACGGGAATATATTAGATGGACAGGCATCCAGGGAGAGCAGACGGGATGAACGCTAGTTCCTGTAGCGGGACTAAAACATCATGTTATTTTGCAAAATGCACTTTTAACTTTTATTATAGCCTACTACATGTTATTCTTCAATCGCCCTTATATAATCAGCCACCTGTTTAATGGTTACCACTTATTGTTTATTCATCACTCTCTATTTCAAAGCTGTTCAGACATATTGTTATATTTCCAAATTGTATATACTGTATACCAAATCCACCTATCTCAAGTACATAACACCTGCACATAACTTATTTTTTCCAGCATCCTTTGCACTATGCTCCATCGCACTGTGTACATGTATGCATATATGTGTATGTGTACCTGTATATCTCATCCACCTCTGACATGTACATGATGATGATGATGACGATAACTAGAACTGCAAGCAGTTGTAAGCTGTGTCCAAGCCCCCCCGACGCCAGCCATGTCCCTCAACCCGCGGAGACTGCGCGAGTCGACCTTGGCGTCCCGCCGCAGCTACGAGGGCCCACGGTGAATAAATGACTAGTTTGAGATTAAAGGGACTTGCGGTTACGGAGATGGTAAAGTGAATGGATGTCTATGGGAGTGTCATTTCATATAGGATTGAAACGCCACCTAGAGGCCGATTGACACCAAATTTCACACAGCCCCTCGGGAGGGCGTGCCAGATAAGGTCCCTGAGTTTGGTGTTGATCGGACATTGCAAACCTGAGGTATGACATCACATCCTGTTTTTAGCATTTTTCACAAACCTTTGTTAGCTTATAATTGTAATTTGATGCCGATCGGACTTGTCGCTTCGTAGGAATTAATTAAAATAGCTTTTACAGTTTTTGGGATTTAGCGAAATGTATACGCACAGAGGTGTGTCCTATACCATATGAATCGGCAGTATCCCCCAAACACATCCGACATAAAGTTTATGAATGTGCGATGTAGTGGCGCGTAGTTATGAGGCAAAATGTCGTTTGGTTCAAAATCCCATTGAAATTAATGGGATTTCCCCACGATTTTTGACCTTCGATTATAGCGCCACCTGTAAGCTGAATTGCACCACGGGGAACAAATCACCCAAATTTGGTATGAATCGGAGTTAAGGTTATGGAGATATAAAATGCGTGTAAATCAATGGGATATTTGAGTGAACTTTGGTGCTTGAAGTGAGGGGACCTTGCTGAACAATTTGGCTCAAGTTTCATGTCAATAATATAATATAACCACATGTTTGTGACTTGTTATAGAGGAACAATTTTTTCAGGTTAAATAGCGCCACCAACAGGAGTTAGTTGCACCAGATTTTGCACAGGGGGCGTCCCACATTATTGCTCCAAATTTGGTGTCGATCGGCCATTCTAAACCTAAGATATGATCTCACTTCCTGTTTTTAGCATTTTTCGCAAACATTTGTTAGCCTATAATTGCGACACTTAGCTGGATGAAAATTTCCTCTACGAACTTTCATCAGCTTGGGAACCACAATGCCTTGTATTTGTGAGTTCCCAGCCCACTCAGGTTCCCAGCTCCGCTGGTACTGGGAACCGCGATGCCTTGCATTCTTCATTCGGTCCAAGCCCGAGTGGGCTGGGAACCCGCAAATGAAAGGCATCGCGGGCATGGACCCTTAATAATAACAGCTATTTTGCCCACTAGCCAATGTGGGTAGTGGTTTTTCGTAGGCCTATATCAGTTTTGGGCACTTTGGATTATTTGTTTTGTATCTGCAATTCCTCAGAGCTCTGACTGGATTAAGTTTATCATCATAAAGCTCTGGTCACGTAAGTGGAGATACTTCCACCTGAAATGATTATACAGGTCTTTATTTTCCAGATTATTCCCATGCAAATGCATCTCCTGCTTTCCAACACGGCATAAGTACTTTTATTAAAAAATAGAATTAACTCTGGAAAGGTAGTTGTGATATGACAATATGATGTGGCGTAAGGGCGGCCCTGCTAGTAGTAACACCATGTCCCTCAATCATAAAGATATCTGTAATTTTACAGCATTTAATGCCACTTCCCTTCTACCTTTTCTTTTTCTCTTGTTCTCCTGCGCATTTGTATCCACACTGCTTGGCCACGCACACTCACACACTGACTGAACGCTGTATTGATGTGTGTGTGTGCATGCAACCAGTTGCGTGTGATGACAGGTTTTAACGATCATGTTAAAAGCAGGTGGAAGGCTGACAGTCTACAGGTCCATGACTGCCCTGTGACTTTTTTGGACCTGTGCAAACGAGATGAGGATTTGACATTTGGTTGTTTAAGCAAGACAGAGTGATTGGATCTCTAAATGTTTACAGAGTTTTATTCTTACTTGTACAAGTAGATATTATATACTATTTATGGGTAATACATTGAGATATTGGTGTCTATAGTATGACAAGATTGTGTAAAGGTACTAAGGTGCATTTGCCTTTTCTTTCAAACTTAATCTAAAAAAATATACAACAAATGTATTTTAACAAATAGTCAAGCTTGTATTTAGTAGTAACTGTGGTGAATAAAAATGAAAAATTATGCAGACGTGAACTAAAGCTTTATGAGACACGGGAACAATGAAGTTCGGTGTTAGGAAAATCAAGCCAAAATATGAAAATTAGAATGTGTGTCCTGAGAATATTACTTGTTAAGCAAAGCGTGGTGCCTACTTTCTTATTCGAAGTATGAGGAGAATGGTAGCCCACTCTGTGTCCTGTAGCTTCTATGATGAATGAAATATTCTCTATTTGTGGACCACAAACCAGAGAGGACCCCAACAGCACAGTCCATTTGCTGAGATCATCACATACCTGGGGACAGTACAGACAGCACAGAAAATAACTCCAAACATCGCAAGGCTGCTACACATTGAATAGTAGTTAGTGAACGAGTCTTCAAACGCTTTGATCAAAGGCGAGTCATGTAGAAACTGTGCAGAAGCAGGGACACAATGTCATCCAGGCTGCAGCCATGTTGCTATGAGAATACAAATTATCTAATGGTGCCAGCTGCACTTGAAAAGGTTTGTTTAACTTATTGAAACACTGGCACTGACATCCCTATTTCATCCATTACACCAACTGGCAGTGCTCCACACCCCACACAGAAAAACATTTTTCAGTATTTGTTGGACTGGCTTATCTGCTTAACCGATCAACTCTTAGCCTTCTGAAGTCAAGTTGAGTCTTCAAGCAGCGAGGTCTCTGCCCTATTTCAGAAAGCAGGTTTGACAAACTGAGCTGAACTCTGAGCCTGAGGTGGGAAAGACAACGCTGAAGTTAGCTTCTGATTCGCAGCTTCCGATTCGGCAGTTAAGGGGAACTTAAGTGAAAGTTAACTTACGTTGCTGAGCGACCAAATCTCGTTTTTTGTGCCTCTTACTGCTGTGAAAGCGGTGATGCATTTTAGGCAAAGCCTTAATGCTGTCTGAAACACTTTTTAAGATTTGAAAAAAACCATTTTATTTGTGAAAATGACAAAAGGGTGATTTCACTGCTTTTTCTCCACATGCAGACCACATTAGACCAGGTCCAGATCCAAAACCACTATACCTAGAGCTCTCAAATCTGGACTAGATTACTCCAGAGAGGCTAAAGTTTCAATCAAACACCGTTTCAGATTTGCGCAAGGTCCGTGTACTTTGCGGTCAACGGATTTTCGTTTTGAAATGAAAAAAAAAAAAAAAAAAAAAAAAAAAAAACCTGCTCGTTTCCCAATTACCATTAGTAAATAGGGAAACGAAAAACGAACAGTTATTGGTTTTGATATTAAAAAATGGAAAACGAAAAAAAATATATTTTTCTTTGATGTGTTTATAGATGGAAATCAGAAATTCAAATACAAGTGTATACATCTTATTCCTCAATTTAGCATTGTTTTTTTTTTTGGTGACCTGGAAGCTATGGTAAGCAGTAAGCGGCTTGGGGTGCTATAGCCTATATGTGCGCTTGACAGACTGTGGGCATGCACTTTCCTTCAACACAAAGTGGCTGTATGAGGTCACCGAGGTCCGGACCATTAGTTCAAATCAACTCAGTATGTTGAACCTTACGGAAGCGCATGAGTGGGAAATTAAAAAGCCATCATCAATGGAGCTACAATTCTACAATTAAAAAAAGTAAAAAAAAAAAGAGCAGCACCTCCACTTTAATCCAGTGGCACTAGAAATACTGCCAGTGTGGACCATGACGGTTATCTTTAAACACAGCAGTGGAGGAAGGAGTCAATAAGTTTAAACCATTACATTTTATTCAGCATTGTTGGGTCAGTCAGCATTTACTTACAGACCTGTGGTTAAAAAGTCACAGTCTGACAGTAATTATGATTATGGTGATCTGATGAAAAATTGTGCTCATTTCACATTTAATTAAATACTGTCAAACACATTAGGATTACGAGCAGCCAATATTCAAAAACTCCCCTTCTTCAAACTACATTTAGCCCAGTTTTAGAATCTTAAAGTCATTTTAGCTGCACCACAATCATCCTCACCTCTGACATGATCACAATGAAAGGAATGTTCCATCAGTGTGACTAATCACAACATGACAGTTGATTTTTCATTGATCACTTCCAGCTTCATACAGATTAGTTTGATTTTAACAGTGATTACTGCAGTAATTAAACCTTAGCTAAATGTTTCAGTCCAACTGTTGAATGGCTGACAGCTGCCTTAAAGTCCACACATTAAGAGTGTTAGAAGGACCGTGAGATGAGTTTCCCTCATCTCAGCTTGAACAACATATTTTCACTTAACCCGCTTTCTGAAACAGGGCCCTCAAGTAAGTCAAATCCAAGACAACTAATTCATTACAATGCAATTTAATAAAATTTCACTGGTGTGTATGGGTGTAGCTGTAACGTTAGAAGCCCTTAGTGTACTGAATGAATAGAGCAAGGACACATTTCCTTATTGCATACATAAACATAGATAGATAGGTTTAGAAATACTGACAATATTCACACCAACTCAATGACATAAACAATAATTATGTCTACAGAGAGGTTAGCAACAGTCTGACAAAAAAAAACAATAAGTCGACTTTGCTGTGGACAGCCCGGGACTCCAGCTAAGGGCAGCGTCTGAGCAGACGACCCAGCCCCCAGGCTGCATGACTGTGACGTCAAGTAACTTAGCTACACGCTAGCTGCGAGATCCAACCTGAGGCTCTGTGACGTAGACGGCCCTGTCTCCCAGCTGGAGGAAGACGACGTCCTCGGCTGGCGGCGGGCTCCGGCGCGCGGTTGTGTGGCGTTCAGACGGCGGGGCTGAGGCTTGTGATGAGGCCGAGCTGGAGCAGACCCGGAAGCTGAAGCTGCTGCTGTTCAGTCTGGGCAGACTGTTGCGGATCAGCACCGAGTAGCACTTGTGAAAGCGCACCCACAGGTAGACGTAGCACAACGTTATTAACATCTTAACCTGCACACGTAAAGGGGGCCATCCTGGCAGCTGACTTTGTTCACAGCGGACACAACATTACTGTCGGACTTAGCTGTAAAGCTAACTGCTACTTCTGCTTTTTCCTCCTTTTCCTCTTCCTTTTTCTTGCTTTATTGGCGGTTGGCAAACAATCAATTGGTGCATTACCGCCACCAGCTGGTGTGGAGTGTGGATCAGAATGATTTCTACTCGGCCATTTTAGTTACTCCAAGTTACTGAAACAGCATCCAATAACTCATCTCTTGAGTTCTTTTGCAGAATATCTTTTAAATCAAAGTGTACTTTGATTATTCTGAGGTTGTGAATCCGCTGCCTTCTTCCTTCCTCATACTTCTGACAGTGTAACGGGCTCTGCTGGTTCATGCTGGCCACAGGAGTCACATCTACCTGAGCCAGAAGTATACATCAGGCTTTATTATTAGTATTATTATTAGTATTATTATGTTGACCTTTTTTGTCTCTCCTATACCTTCCTGCACATTTTATTTCTCCAAATTTCCTCTGCACTCTATAAACCATTCCTTATTTTTCTTCTCCTCCTCCCACCTTTCCTTTATTATTTCTTTAATAATGCTCTGGATTTCTGTCTTACTGAAGCTAACTGCCACCTTGGGGTGGCTGTGGCACAGGAGGTAGAGCGGGTTGGTTGTTAATCGGAAGGTCAGTGGTTCAATCCCCGGCTCCCTGTGGTTGCGTGTCAAACCCTGAATTGCCCCTGGCGGCTGTTCCACCTGTGTGTGTGAATGTTAGTTTCGGTTTGAGCACTTAGGCTCAGTGTATGAATGCAGATGTAGTGTAAAAGCGCTTTGAGAAAAGATTAGAAAGGCGCTATACAAGTACGGAGCATTTACATTTGATGTACTTTCTTTGTGTGATCTGTGACACTTCATTTGAGTTCTGTATAATGTTTGTTGTCCTTGTATCTAAAGGTCTGCTCTGCTGTCTGAATGGCTGCAAGTTGTATAAGAATAATAAAAGAATAGAAAAATAATAATAGAACTATTTGCAGAGAAAGAACAATGGAGCAGATATACATGTGCAACGTATTGCAACGGAAGAGAATATTGTGTGCATAAATATATAAATTGACAACATAAAAATATAGAAAACAAAGATTAACAGTTAACAACAAATATGTGCAATGTGCCAGGTTTGTGCACGATATGAAATGAAGTGAAATAATATTTACATGTGCAGAGAAATTTGTATTATTTGAAAGGGGGGAGTGTTAGTGAGGGACCCAGATCTTGTTAATGAGGCAAGCTACAGACGGGAAGAAGCTGTTTTTGACCGGGATGGGAGGGGTCAGCTGCAATCTTTCCTGCACGGCTCAGAGTCCTGGAGACGTGCTGAGGGGAAAGATTGCTGCCTTGAGCTGAACCGGTGCTGATGGTCCTGGAATCAGAGACATGTTTTCCCATCTTCACGTGCTGCTTCCTGTCTGTCAGGAAGTCTGTTATCCACCTGCAGGTGGAGTCAGGCACACTCAGCTAGGAGAGCTTGTCCTGCAGCAGGGCCACAAATCCACAAACAGGATCCTGGGGTAGGTTCCTGGGGAATCCAGGTACTGGAGGATGTAGTGAAGGGCCATGCTTACTGCATTGTCTACAGACCTGTTGGCTCTGTAGACGAACTGCGTAAAACGGTTTACAGTTAATGATAAAATATTCCAGATCAGGAGAACAGTGCTGCTGAATCACTGTCACGTCTTAACACCAGCCACTGTTGATATAAAAACAGACACCTCCACCTTTTGTTTTGCCGGAGAGTTCTGTGTCGTGGTCCGCTCTGTAAAGTTGGAAGCCAGCCAGCTGCAGTGTGGAGTCCAGTATCAGCTCACACAGCCACGTCTCCATGAAGCACAGAACAGAAGATGAATAAAATTCTGTTTTTCCCCACCAGAAGATGAAGTTCGTCCAGTTTGTTGCACAGTGAGTGTAGTGAGTCCCGACCGGCGGAGGCGCACAAGTGACCTTTTCGTTTATCTCTCCTACGGTGCTTCACAGCCCAAACAACAGTGAACGTCCAAACAAAATGAAATGTCCAATAATTCCACAGATGATGCGAGAAAAGTGGGAAATAAATCCGCTGGTGTTGTTCCCTTGATGTTTATGAGCTCTTCTCTGGTGAAAGAGTTCCGGGAATCACCTCCTTTTCCCAACAATGATTTAAAGTGGTGGTATTATGCTGTTTGGCTTTTCCCCTCTCCTTTATTGAGTTATATATCTGTTTTGTGCATGTAACAGGTTTGCAAAGTGAAAAAGCCCAAAGTCCAGCCCAAAGGGAGTTCCCATCTCCTACAGAAAACTCTGCTCTGAACTGAAAACAGCTCGTTTGTAGTCCAGCCCTTCACTTCCTTTACTTGTGACGTCACAATGAAAACGCGTCATAAAGCTTGCCAAGCGGCTAGCGGGGTCAGGCACGCCCTCAAACCAAGCTAGTCTGAGCGGAGGCCCTTTGGCTCGACTCGCCTTTGTTTGGGTTTCCATTGTAGAAATGTTGCACCTGTACCTGCTTCCAGGTACTTTTTTTCGTATCACCTCACCTCCGTTGAGGTTCCAAGCGAGCTGAGGGAAACTAAAATGTAACGTGAAAACACGACAGACTGCTGATTGGTCAGAGAGAATCGTCACTATTCATTGCATCATCATTGCTGCACCAGACAGAGGCCAGCAACAGAAAGTTTTATATTTTACAGTTTTCGTATGGAATTTCATCACTAAATCCACTTCTGAGAAGTTTTGAGGTGAGAAATCAGCTGTGTAGATTTCCAATATTGACAGTTTTACGAGAAGTGATGGCGGAACAAAAATGTGATGAATATTTTGGGAGTTGAGGAGCTCCGCAAGTGGCTGCGGGGGAAGCCTATACCAACCAGGAGGAGCGTGTGAGGCCGGCCAGCCGCCCGCTCACAGAGCCCTCTGCTCCCGCCGTCACACAGACCGCTGCAGCAACAACGGCAGAGGAAAACACAGCTGGAAGGTTTTCATACCGCTTATCTGTCTTTACATTCTGAGGAATGTTGAAACGTTTTAACTTTACAAAGAGAAATCTGTGTGGATCACTGGTGTGTGTGTCGCATTGAACATTACGTTGCGGCAGTTGTGTGTGGCGTCGCTATGACGACAAGCTACGTACTATCTCTGGGTATTATCTGCAATGGAAAATGGAGCAGGGCCGAGTAGAGCCCAGTCTATCAATTTGCGCTATAGTAGCATTTTTCAGCAATGCAGCATAGATCGTCAGAACAACGGCAACAGTTCAACGTTTAGTCCTGATGGTATGATGTGGAACAATGATGATGTGGACTTGTGAGTAACTCATACCATCTGCTAGATTACGGTCGCAGTCTGAAGCGGCTTTGATTTGGATCGCACTACCTTGTTTCTTACGACCCGCCCTTCTCTGCTTCTGATTGGCTTGTAGTCCTTACCTGTGAACTGCGCATGTGCAACTCCCAACAAAGATTTTGTACAAGTAAGATGCATCACTCTGTAGCTCAAGAGCGGAGCGTACAGCTGCAGCAATGTGCAGTATGAGAAAAATATGGTGTTTTTTCAAAATTAAACCATGTAAACCTGTTCTGGTAAAACCCCTAAATAAGATTTTGAATCTGAAAATGAGCATAATACCACCTCTTTAAATTGTCTTGTGTTGGATTATCTTGACTGTGGCCTGTACATTAACGAAGTAATTCAATGATTGATGTATCCTTCTCATTACTAGTGGCATTTCTCCCGTTTCCACCTGTATTTCTGCTGTTAGGGTTGTTTTAAATGCACCTGTGCTGGTCCATATAATCCACACAACCATAATCTAATACAGTATCTCACGAAAGTGAGTACACCCCTCACATTTTAGTAAATATTTGATTTTTATCTTTTTATGTGACAACACTGAAGAAATTAAACTTTGCTACAATGTAATGTAGTGAGTGTACAGCTTGAATAACAGAGTAAATTTGCTGTCCCCTCAAAATAACACAGGCTGCTCCTTGTTACATGCGCTTTGGTCTGGTAAGTGAAAAAGTTCTGTATTCAGGCGCAGTAATGTTAACAGAAAGGCTAACGTTACTTGTAGTTAGCTGGCTAACACATTGAGGTAACGTTCACTTTGCACTGTTAGGAACTGCTGTAACTTAGTTAACATTACTTTAGCCCTATACTATACTGTGGAGACAGTCAAGCTCTGCATTCTTATAAGTTAACAAGCTGTATCTGAAGGCAGTGTTTGTAGCAAGATGTATGGTTCCTCAAAAAGTAAAAACATTCATAATGTGGAACAATAGCCTATAGAGCCTAGTTTCACTGAAAGGTAAAAACCCCTGTCTCCAGTTTAGGAGATTTTAAATATCAGAAACACCGGTCCATGTGATCCAAAATGATCATACAGCAACAAAAACTGAACATTATCATTTAAAAAATATATATTTTGTCTTTATTTAGAATCACATATCACTTTACACAGTCTTCCTTGCTTATAGAATTATACAGTGATTCCATTTTTTTTTTTTGAATATACATGTACTAACAGAACAGAACATGGGGTGTTCCACATTTACTCAGGGACAAAAGGAAAAATAAATTTGTATATATAAAATGAGAGAAAGATGACAAAGAATTAAACAAAAGAAGGGCGGTTAGGAGCAATATACCTTTTTCCACTTTTCCCAAATTTCCTCAAATTTAGTTTTCTGTAGCCTCACAGAGAAAATGATTCTTTCCATCACAAAGATCTCAAAGACAATATCATACCAGTCCTCTATAGATGGGCTTTTTGGCCTAAACCATTTCTTTGTAATTGCTTTCCTAGCTGCAACACTTAATAAACCAAACAGGTATTTTGTTTTATTGTCAGCAGATGTTGAATGTAGAAACCCAAACAGTAGTTCATCCCAATTAAAAGGAACTTTCGTCCCAAATATGCTCACTAGTTCTGTATGGATCTCACGTCAGAAAGCATTTACGATTGGACAAGCCCAGAACAAATGAAAGTGATTTGCCTTCTGAGAGCAACAATTTCTCCAACAGCTGGAGGAACCCGAGTGATGAGACTGCTGAACAGGTGAGATAAAATATCTGCTGAGACTCTTCCAGCCAAATGTTCTCCAA